GTTTCTTCTCCATCAATGGAGTCCAGCACTGCCGCTAAGTGAGCCATCTTGCTCAATCGGTAAACAAAGACCACAATCCCAGTGTTGCCTGCCGTATCACGCGATAGGCCAAATACAAAGTCCATACTAATGGACTACCACAACTCTTAGGGTACAGGCAAACTCGCCAAAGGTACAGCCATATTAGTCGAGAGTTTCACCTTTGACACATTTCACACGTGCGTACGTAGGTATCAACCCATTTGTACAACTTGGGTCACCATTAATGTGTGCTCACCGAGCTGTAGGTCTTCTCACGACCTAAATGATCACCAAGGGGTGTATCATGAGCCTCATAAAGTAGCTGATACTTGAGGTCCTCATCATGAGGCACCACAACACGAGGCTGGTCATCCGACCCTGTACTATAGTACAACAGACTATCGGTCAGCGCATAACGATGTAATCTCGCACGATTACGTGGTGACAACTTCACTAGTTTCCAAAATCTGCGCTACCTAGCGCCTGCAGAATGGCAACAGATGCCTCATCGCGTGCATACGCCACATGGATACGATCCGTTACAACAGTGAGATAAGAAAGCTCATAGTCAGGTCTACGCGTTAACGCGTCAGCCAAAACATTCTGTTTTCCCGGCTTATACTTCACTTCGAAGTTATACTCCGCAAAAAAGGAGAGCCAACAAGCCATTATCTGCGAGAGATGAGGCGACTGTGTCGCTGTGCGTAATGACGCATGATCGGTATAGAACACAAACGGCTTTGAGTCCAACAGGTGTACCCTAAGCTTAACAAGGGCACACTTCATCGCAAGTATCTCCTTGTCATGAACTGGATAGTTCTTCTCTGCAGCTTTCAGCTGGCGAGACTCACATACGACGCTAAACGGGCGATCAGGATCAGGTAGAGCCAGAATTTGGCACCTGAAGGAGACTCTCCTTAATGGCGTCAAAAGCCTCGTGGTGCTCGGCGTTCCAACACCATTCCACATCCTTTTTAAAGAGATTGGACAATGGTCTAGCCACTTCCGCATAGTTTTGGCTATACTTGTGCAAGTAATTTGACAAACCCAACCACTTGCGGAGGTCCTTTTGGTTTCTCGGATCCGGCCAATCCACTATGGCTTTGACCTTAACAGGGTCTGCCCGAGTTACTCGCTTCCCAATGAAGCATCCCAAAAAGGGAATATCTTCCGCAACGAAGATTCATTTGTCAATATTGGCATGCAACTTATGCATCCTCATGCAACCGAGCACAGCTCGCAGGTGCTCGATGTGGTTCTTCACATCAGTCTTGCCATTTTCGGCTCGACTATGAACGAATATATCGTCAAAGTATGTCTGTGTATACGCCCTATGGGGCCGAAACAACTGCGTCTCTAGAAGATTAAACGTTGCAGGTGCGTTAGATAGCCCTTGGGGCATCACAAACCACTCCCAGAGCATACCACTCGGAGAAACTGACCGCTGTCAGCGGGATATCACTTGATCGCATGAGCAGTTGGTAATATCCATCGACTAAGTCGAGGGCACTGTACATCGTACATCCCACCATATTGTTCTGAAGAACATCCTTGCGAGGAATCGGTGTTTGAGCCGGGACAGTGGCTGCATTCAGCTTATTGTAAGCATGCACTATTCGCCACTTCCCATTAGGCTTTCTCACACAAAACGTGGGCGTAGAGTGAGGAGACTTACTCTCACGCACCATGCCAGTCGCGTGCTTTGCACGAAAGAACTCGTCAATGACGCCACATTGTTCTCGTGGCAGCGGCCACTGTCGCGTCACACAGTATTTGGTTCCTGGAACCAAGTCAATCTCATGACGTACACCTCTATCCGGAGGCAACCTCGTAGTCGGTTCTCTGGAGACAACATCTTCATATTTCTTCAATAAATGAAAATAAGGATCCGAAGGGTCCTTCAGGATCTGCGATTCACTGCGCAAGCTCAGCGTCTTCTTGGTATTTTCAAGAACTGCTTCATCTAAAAGCGATGAGGAGTTCAGCTCCGTTTCAGGTGTTATAACGACCACTACGGCGATGTCGCCTGCCTGTAAGGCACTGCCAAACTCGGCAAAGGACAACTCGTACAGCTCTAACAGAGCACTTGCTGCGGCTATAGCTTAAAGAGCCACCGGCTCTTCAATATCCCCAGTCAAACCATTGACGAGTGTATATAGCTGTTCGCTATCACCGTCACTCACGATATTATCATCGCTACTCATGATGCTCTTAGCATCCGACGCATCAGCGTCCACAGGTGTATACACCTCAAGGTCAAAGACCACTTCGTTTACTGACTGCATCCAACCCTCTTGGGTCGATCAATACCTCGTCATGAGGTGCTCGCACCTCGTTGTCCTCAAAGACAACCGTCATTTTTGACTTCACCCGATCCTCTTGGGCCAGTACCTTGTCACTAGGTGCTTGCACCTCGTTATTCTTATAGATAACATCCATTGATGACTTCACCCGACCCTCCAGAGCCAGTACCTCGTCAATAGGTGCTTGACCTCGGTGTCCTCAAAGCCAACATCCATTGGTGACTTCACCCGACCCTACAGGGCCAGTACCCCGTCACTTGGTGCTTGAATCTCGTTATTCTCGAAGATAATATCCATTGATAACTTCACTCGACCCTCGAGGGTCAGTACCTCGTCTTTAGGTGCAGGAACCTGATTGTCCTGAAAGACAACATCCATTTGTGACTTCATTCGGTCCTCCAGGGTCAGTTACTCGTCTCTCATGTCACTTGGACTCGTGTCCTGACACCTTGGCTTGCAGCCACCAGCAGCACTTACGGTGTTTAATGATGTAACATCATTCTCATGACACATGTCATATGTGCCATCTAGTAAGTTCTCAACAACACTATCGACAGTCATTGGGCCTTGCCCAGGACTGTTGTCCTCGACACGTACAGTGTCTAGCCGGACATCCAACATATTGACCGACTCGGACCAATATCCGCGCCAAAAGCGCTTTTGCTTCCTAGCAGAGGTGGGTTCATGACTCCAGATTCCCACCAGGAGCATTGCGCGTTGCGCCTAAGGTCTTCGACCTCCAATCAATCCATGGCTCATGACGTTCTAGCCATACTATGCCTAGGATGAGGTCATACCTTGAATCCAGGTCTAAGACCAAACAGCGTTCCATGCAGTTAAAGTCCAAGAGCTTTACATTGAAGTCCATCGGGACCTTGTGTACCGTAACACGCGTACCCGTCGCTAAGTGAACAGTGACTGTGTCACATTCACGCGCTACAAGCGCTTCAGCATATGCTTGTTACCTTCCACGGTGACACGGCGCGCATAATTGCCTGATGCCCCGAATCGATCAAAATGATCCATGGCTTATCATAGCCCTTAATCATCACTACGACGACTATCAAGCCTGGCTTGCATTCTCGTACCTTTTTGAGAGTTCGGATCTCTTTGGGGCTCGGCCCACTTCTTCGCCCTGGGCGATGAGGTACTCCACGCCCATAGAGCCAAGGATAGGGAGCAGCTTCTGCAACCCTTCCTGTTGTGCCTGTGACAGACCAACCGATGACATCTCGTCGATGTCCATTCTCACACAGAGAAGTAGTCGCAAACCCAGGTGTGGGTTTGACTACAAGTGCTACCAGGTGTAGCCGGGATACTGTAGCTACGCTACTTATGCACTATGTGCAGAAGAAGTAGTCAGACTACTGTAGCAAAGCTACGTATACACCATGTGCAGAGGAAGACAAGATCAGAGATCTTCTACGTCTTAGGGTGCTTAACCTTCCTAGGCTAGCTCGCAAGCTTGTGCCTATTGGTTGTTGCAACTGTGTTTCAAAGAGACTAGTATCAAAGATACTGATTCCTTCAAAAGAATAGTACGCTCAAGCGGTGAGGTTTATAGAGCAGGTTTGAAACTGATTTATACTAATGTTTATCTTCTAACACTAAATATAGAAGCACCTACTATATACTTAGTGCTAGTCACTATGGAACGGGGTTACACTGAGGTGTGCATTGTACATACACACCTGCTACACCAATGTGGTGTGGCTGTATGTACCTTGGGTAGGCTTGATGTGACCGTACCTAAAGTACGAAGGGTCCCATCGTGGCAGAGAGCCACGTGGTCACTATACTTAGTATTGTGACTATACATGTTTGCATATTAATAGGCTATAGAGCCAGTAAATAGTGACTAGCACCAAGTATAGAGTAGGTGATTCTATAATTAGTGCTAGAAGATAAACATGTAAAAATAGGTTTCAAACCTGCTCTGAATAGCATCGTGCTAAAACTTAATCCTTGAAAGAAAAGAAGTTGTATCAATGATACTGGTTTTTTGGAGACGTGGTTGTTTACAACCAAAAGGCGCAGTCTTGCGAGTTAGCCTTGGGAGGGTTACGAACCCTAAGACATATTAGCTCTTTGAGCTTGTCTTCCTTTGCACGTAGTGCATAAGCAGCTTGGCTATAGTAGCTCGGCTAAAGTACCTCCTTACTGTACTCAAGGTACAGCCACACCACATTGGTGTGTATGTAAAATACACCTTTGTGTAATCACATTATTATGCTCAAGAACTAGATTTTGAGTATAATTGTCTCGCCTGACTCATCAAGCATATCCAGTTGCTACGTCATTTGTGGTGCGTTAAACTTGTGCGCTCAACAAGCAGCTTCTAATCAAAATAGAAACGTTAGCAACATCAATTTGTGCTGTTGGCTCTAATGTATCGTGTTTGATGCTTGATAGGTAAGTTTTGAGGCAAAACAATGCATGTACAGTACTAAACACTTAAACATCCTAAGGAATAACTTTTCGAGTGTCCAATCGAGGCCATACTATTCTTATCATGTTTTTGATATGACAAAAATTAGTATGCCTGTATGAGAAGCTGGTCGTAACGAACATTGTACATTAGTGCGGCTAAAACGGATTTTTGATTTGCATGAAATTAGTTGAGACTTCAGCGGAAGCGTTCTGTACTAATGATAGTCATACGACGTGGAATGCCAATTAAGCTAACTGCGTACGTTTATGAACGACATTAAAGTCGACATAAGAACCTTCTGCAATAGCGTCAGGATGCTTGTTATCCATCCCAATCTTCAGATGGCTCCAGTTTACACTACTCTTAAGCTCAGGAATCTGATATAGGTCGCGCAGATACTAGAACATACACAACAACAAGCTCTCGTATTAGGTTTTTTCACAAGAATGACTTTGTTAACCCCATCAACTAAGATTTTAAGCTCACCTCGACCACATTCGAACAATCCGTCAAGTGCTTCTTGTCAGCCTTTGGACGAGACGAATGAGCGTGTGAAACAGACGTACATCCGCCTCCGTCACTGCTTTTCCCACCAGGTATCTCTGCTTTATCAGCAGCTCCTCCAGTTTGGTCAAAGCCACAAACACCTTTTCTCAGCCTCTGCGGCAGCTTCCGGTGTTGAAGCAAAGAGTTTCTTAGAGAATTGAGAATTGCATGATCACTTCCGTAACAATACCATCATTGGCAGCATCAATCTCGGCTCGCAATTCTTTTGGGTACAAGTGTACACTGGATGGCACCAAGTTTCGAAAAGCTGAATCGAAAGTACGCAAAATGCCCGTAGACTCTTCTGACACGATGGTACTCTTTTTCTTGCCCCATAAAACTGGTACTGAATATGTACGAGGAGCAGGGTCAACTTTTTCGTACAAGTCCCGTACGAACTTTACGTGGTTCACAGTATCCGGAATACATCCATCCGTAGGGTATATCTTGCTATTGGCTCCTATCATAGTAGCTGACGTTGTTAAGTCAATCAAAACCCAACTCTTGTGGTCATCATTGTCATCATTTGGTCTAGTCTTTTGAAAATTAAAGTGGACAACGGATAAAGTTATGATATCTTCGAGTCCCAAGAGGTTGCGAGCTGCAAGTGCACGCATGCAAATGGACATGAATAGGCCACGTAGAGATGATAACGATCAATTTCAGGAATTAATTTGGAAATCGTATTTAGAGGAGATGAAATGAGAAATGAGGTTTGAGATTGAAGATTTTATTATAAAAACGAAATTAACTAATGTGATTAGTCTAATTTGTGCATAAAATGAGCTATAAAATAATCTTCCAATGCAAAATCGTAATACCGGATTTTTACGCACTCATGTAGATTTGTCATCATGTCTATGACAGTATGATGTGAATTAGCTTCGTAATAGCTTAGTCAAGCTCTTTCTACGATAGTAATCTCTACTCCGAAGTAAACTGTGTCACATCTATATGGTCAGACTATACCACCGCCTACTTGTCCACCATTGTCTAAAGATATCGATGACAAATGTGACTGGATATCTATCCCATGTCAGTCAATATCTCACACCAGCTACCACTGCGCTATGTACAAAGTGCTTAGGTTCTTAGACTAAAGCCAATTTTTCTCTGAGCTCGTTTTTGCGTTGCTACCACTTAAGTTTTTTACCATAGATGAAGCATGGAAGTTTGAAATGCGCCATCAGAGTCAAACCCAAATCGTTTGATCTCTACTATCGCCGAATTAATATGTGTCACACTCGCTTCGAGCACACCATGATGTACTCTTCAATTAAGCAACCTTTCAAATTAGTGGCCTTTTGCACAATTAAGCAACAGTAGAGCGCGAAGCTAAGTTTGGCGGAATCCCATTCCGTAGAGCCATTGGTTCCGTGCCATTAGCTTAGGAACGCCTGACAACAGCCTCTGACAACGTCAAGTCAATACTACTGGTGTGAGGAAGAGGCGATCATATATGTGCTGGTTCGCGATAATGGCTAATTGGACGCGACGAATATGTTGATGAACGTGGGAGCGTCGAAACAGTATCACGGAACTTTAGGTAGAAACGACTGTATGAAATAAAGGCAAATTCTCGTCAGGTCATAAGTATTGCGTGGACAACTAGGCTAGCTCCAACGCATTTGGTACACATCGCCAGGAGTTTTTTAGGCCCTGACAAGTTTGATCATTACACGAAAAATCGTATTAGAAGGCAATGACATCAGTATATTTGTTGAATACCACCAACGCTACGGAGACTCTTGTTTGTACATGAATTTCATTGTCCAGTCGCTCTAGCAGTATGCCAGACCGACCTCAGTGGCCGAGTGGATAAGCACTCCTGGCGAGTACGATTACAAACTGCCGGAGATAGGCTAATATGTCCCATAGTGTAATTAGCGTTCCTGCAGATAGAATCCATGGTCTGTTGGCTTCGCAGTCTAATTCTCTAGCACTATGACGGAAGAATAAGTGGCACAAGTAAAGCGCATATATCTTGTAGTAACCACGAAACGAAGCCATGATACATTTTGCTGAATGTTTTCGGTTGTAGATGGAAACTTTGTATTGTTATCTACTTGTTACTACTAGCAAAAGTTTTGATTATATCCTAGTTTGATCCAGCTTAGCTGCGCATTCAGCAAGTAAACAACAATGCGAAACCTTGTTACTAATGCCATGCAATTATGTACAATTCGAGTTTTGTGATCCTTATTCCAATGCACTAGTTGTTGAAATTCTCAAAGCTGGTAGCACGATCACTTCGTGCTTGACGGCTGCCATAAGCTTACATAAAGCTCAAGCGACAAATCTTGTACTTTTGACTACATCAATTTTCCTTGAAATGTGGAGGATAGTCATAATGCTGTGAATACTTTGCAGTCGGCACCTTCAAGTCCACAAGTTTACAAAAACTTTTTCGGAGCTGAACAAATTGCAGCATTTCACTTGTCATTTGCGTAACAAATATCGTTTTTGTTCCTGCGGTATTCATCCCGCGCCAGTAGGCATTAAGTTCAAGTGACGATTCCTCGTTTACAAATCTATTAACCTCTTTGTTGTTTTCGGGGTCAACCGTATGCAATCTTCCTGGTCACACAAAGGAGGCAGTACCCAGGCGTCGCCGTGTTGATTGTACCAATCACTATCTCCTATCAAACGGTCCGGAGGTTCGAGTGATTAGCATGGACTTGTACTCAGAGCTTGCAGAATTTACAAAACATCTAAGCACTAGTATGCTATCAACAATGTGCTTTACGCCGTCAACATAACTTATTTCTCGATGCGAAGTTGGTAATGGCACCGCCAAGGCGAACGTCTTACCGTTTAAATAAAGACACTGGCAGTGTGACAAGAATCGATAATGATTCGGCTACAATACCATTGACTTTCTTTTTTTTCGAATACCGCTTCAAGTGTGACAGAATAACAACTGATACCATATTGGGGCTGAATGGATCCTCACACGCCTTGGTGGCTTAGGGTGCATGGATTCGCTCCATATATTAACAACACGAAAAAATGGAATGTCCCTTTTACAAACGACAAGTGTTTAGTGGCTGAACACTTGTCGTTTGTAAAAGGGACATTCCGAACAACCACAACGAGCCAACGCTCTGTCATTAACTCATTGTGGCCATTCTGTCGTTAGTTCGTCGTCGCCATTCTCTTGTTAATTTATTATGGCCATTTTTTTGTAAGTTCATTGTGGCTATTTTGTCGTTCATTTGTTGTCGCCATCATGTTTTCCATTCGTTGTGGCCATTCTGTCGTTTGCGCCGTGTAGCCTTGTAGTTTGTTCGTTGTAGCCGCTCATACGTGTAAAATACACGTTAAAACTTGATTTTCGATTACGCTGTACGCAATGGCGTTCTTTTAGTTGAGGACATGGTAAGATGCACGTCTGGGTCAGACTACGCCTCTGTAAGTCGACAGCGGCTAATAAGTGGAACCACAAAAGGTTAAGGCACACGCCGCGTTCGCAAGATTATTAAAACAAGTACAAATTCAAATATTTGTCCAACTGCAACCGCGACACGTTCACTTTGGCTTACTCGCACGCAAAATCGAAAGCTTGTATGAGAATCAAATTTGTATTTACAAATTTAGTGTGCTTTTTACATCATAGGAGAAGGTAAGAAGCATGATCCACCTTAGAAGAATGCACAATATGTTCATGTTAGCTTTGCGACAATTTCATATTACGTTTTCAATTGTAATGTCTCATTTATACTAATCAAAGTCCTCTACGAATTTATATTTCATGAGATTTGACGACATATCATTCACTTAAGCGCTCCCATATTCGCTCGTTCTAGATACGTACTGCTTCTACATTCAATAATGACAAGCCTCATTCCTGCATACATGGCGTCCATGCAATGCATATGCACACCTACTCATGACTTCTTTGGGGTAGCCTGTAGCTTCTCTCGGCATAAATATCAATCAGAAGCGTACGCTCCACCTGTCGACTTCTTCATCAGCCAGATCTGAGCCGTCATCATATATTGATAGCCGCACATTTTTTTGCCGGCTGTCACGCTTTTTCTTCCTGTTGTTCCTCCTGTTTTCAGATCGCTTTCATTAACTGCATATGCGCTCGTTAATACATGTAAAAGCTATATATCTTCGCTGCACAGTTAGTCGTTCGAGTTGCGTGCTGATAGAGATCTGTTCGACTAAGTGGTAATGCAGCAATTTTGTCTTATCAGGCGTGGACGTTCGTGGGGCATTAGGATTGTATTGAAGGCTTCATGCACGCTTGCGTCAACACCTGACGAGGCTACTGACCCCGTGATAATGTGGAGTTTTAGTTTGCCATGTTCCACTTCGGCGTCGTCCTTAAAAGTCTTAAGGGCTGCATCAATATATAAAAGACAAGACTTGCATATTTGGATAGCAAAACATGAAGGCTTGCAGCATAATGCTACTATACGGTACGACAACACTGCGTGGCCGCTTTCATAGCGGATTTGAGGCATTGCTAAGCCTCAAATCCGCATGTGTTACCCGACAAGTCCCGCGGCGCGTGACACTTACAACAAAAGCGTCTATATGTATATATGAGCCAGTTGAGCATCATGATCCGGCCAATGCTCTTTTGTTGCTGCATGAGTTGTATTGTAACTGACGAGCAGCATACGAAAAGCGGTAAGATAAAGTGATGCATGCAAGGCCGTAATCGACCAATTCAGGATGAGTCCATTGCGAAGAGTGGAGCTTGAAGATATCGTACTTCGTTACTTATACTTTGGATTGGACAAAAACTGTGAGATGTTTGCTGAAGGATGGTGATAGGCTTGAATCGACAAAAAGACAGTGCTTAGCTACGTAATCAAAGAGTTGGTATTTATTCGTTAAATAGGTTTTACCAACTTAAAATTCATTGCAGCGCTTTTAAAGTCCTTAAAATGGCTAAATGTCTTTGACAAAAAGCACAAAACGTACAAATTGGAATCCAATGTGCACGACATTGCTTCACGAAGCAAGGCGGACATCGGTTAGTACGTGCTAAAAAACGGATTAAAATGTGTATTTAGTCATAGGATGAAAGCATGGCGCAAAGCTGAAGTCTTGCTAATTCATAGAGAAATTCCGCACTGCAATTAAATTTTAAAAGGCTTAGTAAACTATGAAAGGGCTGCTGATAACAAACTCTATCTGACAGCGAATCCGTCGTGCGCCTCGTTTAGTCCTGTTTACAAGTTAAGCTTACTTTGGTGTAATGACAGTAAAACAATATTTTGCTTCTCATGTTGACAAACATGTCCACAATATGAAAGAAAACTACGATAGGTACCCTGTTACGTAGCTACATGCAGGCTCGACGGGGCGCTTGTAATCCTTTAAACACAAGTTTACGATATGATAACATGTTTCGTTTAATTGCAGACAATGATCATCATTTGTTTTTTACTAATTACGAGTTTAGCACCTGAAAATCTTACGTAACAGAATCGCTGGATTACAGCCATATAGTTGTCCTCATAAGCATTTTAAAGCTGAGGAGCGGTCTAATTGTCCGAGACTTCTTTTGAATTCCGACGTTTGTTTCGGATAAAAAGTCGCTGCGATTGGCTGCACGAGCAGCCATCAACATGTCGCGGACATCCGATCCTGGATCATTATTGAAAATCTTTTGCTGCTACTACTTCTCTAGCCGAGCATGGGAATTTCATCGACTAGAACGAGCACTACACCAGTCATTAACTTTTCAAATTACTATCGCAAACGAGCAGCTTCAATAGCACTTCCTGAAGCCACTGCATGGCTAGAACATCTGCAGTTAAATTTACACGTTGTCACCTGTGCTAGCAGCAACAGCTTGAGTGCTAAAGTGCAGTACGAAGTGCATGCAAACTACTTACCGCCCTGTTGTCAAGATTCAGGTCTTGTGTGGACAGTTAGCCGGCCATTTGATGCCTACCGTCGCTTTCGCAAGCAATTACTGCGCCGACTGCAGCCTGGTCATGTGTGCCCAGCCGAGTGCAAGTGGCTTTACGCCGTGCTGAAAAACCATTTCCCAAAGCTAAAGTTATTGGCTGCTAACTCACCGCGCACGACAGAATCCAGAAGGCAAGCACTTGTCCGAGTACTCCGGACATTACAGGCGTCGCTGGTCAATAGAGGAAATCAGGGTTGCAACGTACTCGTGCACGGCGTCTGTCGAGAGTTTACAGCTTTCATCTTGGGCGAGAATGCGAAATTGCCAGAAGTAGCTATGGCACTAAGCGGATGCAGCTCCGATCAGATCACACGTGACTTGTCGGCGTCATACATATCCAATTGCAGTGGCGACGAAATATATTTTGATGAGACCTTGCATTCTGGTAACATGTACGGCTGCAGGAGGGGTCAAGGCTACTGTAAATCTGAATCTGGACAGTGAGATGTTGATGAAGGCAGGCCATCATACAGTACCCAGTTTCGAGCCGTAACTAACGACGATACAGACCCGTCGGCTAGAGATGTTGCGTTACAACGCGGAGTAGAAAAGCATTAGCGTGGAAATACACGAGACCTTCTGGCCAAGTATTACAGCACCAGCACTTATACGACGTATCGACCACTGGTAGCAGATACGAATTTGAGAAGAGCAACGAAGTAAGATATATAGATGGCAGAATAAAAACGCGCAATACATCAGCAATGCGATCGCAGTCAGGTCACATAAGCGAGCATGTTGAAGTTCAAGATGCTTCTTCAAGTAAGAAAATGTTCTGCGTGCACGAATGAGCTGGTCTCATACGTTACTTCAGTTGCCAGCTTAATTAAACATACAGCATTATCTAGTCTACGTCCTTCAACGCAGTAATGTGTCAGTTACCAAGGCGGTAGCCCACCTTTGTCCAAAATTAAATGGTGTGCCGGCACGGACAGCCTTAAACACCCTCTAACACCTATGGACGTTCCACATTTGGAAACGGCTTTATAATGCTTGCAGCTGGACATGTTACCCACCCCCTTTGCAGCCTGTTAAAGTTTTCAGCGTTGCTCATTCATCGCCACAAAGCTCTTAAAAAGCTACATTTGGACAGCGCTCGTCCTTGGCTGCAGGTATCCTCGTCTCTATAGGTTATTGCTTATGCCACCTGTCGTTCGTGCTAAAGCTCGATAAAAATACATAAAAACGTTCTTTTGAGCTTCAAAGTCTCAGCTATTTGGTCATGCTTCACTTTACAAAACACAGTTACCGTTTCGCAAGTATACCTCGCCCTGCAAGGAATACCGCGCAATTTCTTGCGCTACGAAACGCAATGAAGCAAAACCGCGATTAGTCAAGAAGCAGTCGAAATAAAATGTCTTCTGGTTGACAACACAAAGTGCCGACGTCAACGCCTGCTTGAGCGGTATAATCCAAGTCACTATGATGACCCGTGGCAGCAACTTATAAGAGGGAGTAGTGCCCTATTACTTCTTGGCGCTTGTTCGTAGACAAAACCTTAAGATATGTGGGCTTCACTAATGCTTAATTATCATCACGATAGATCGGTAAGCCTCGTTTCCTCTTGCGCGTTCAAGCAAAAGAAAAATCGATACAAGGTAGAGTATGCCGTCATAGCAGACTGCGTGCGTAAACGGAGCGAGACAGGTAACCATATTGCATGCACAATGCAAGAGCCTTTCACTTTCACTTGCATATGTACACTAACAATTCGCGATGTACTCTTCTATTTACATTTCCTAATGAGCTGGTCGCGATGCAAAGACGAAGCAAATTTCTTACAATGCACGTGTCGACGTTACTGTGCAGGCGAATAAGCGTACAGTGCGTTATGTTCTTCGATCAGAATTAATACAGAAACTCATTCATACTTTTGAATGCGGACCAGAGGTTCCATATACACATATGGCTTTCAGAATTATTGATAACTGCATCGGCATTTCATGATGACAGCACTCTACTTTAGTAAAGAATAGAACGTCGCTAATTTGTCAAGCTGGGCGGTTGGGCGCGACGGCGCGTGCTGTTGTGGTTTTCGCATTGTTGGCACAGCATATTTGTAGGATGAAGTCTTTCCCGCGGCTTACCGCTGCATCTAAATGAGTTGAACAAAGCAAAATAGTGGAAGAAGCATCTTATGGATTTGTCGCTGTCCATTGGTGCAGCATACCAAATCGTCAACGCCGCTGCCAAAATATTCAACTTAGCACCGATTATCTGACTCCGGGGACAAAAGTATGCGGAGCAACTACAATTGCACCGTAGCTTCACCATGTTGTCCAATTGGTGCGCACCAGCAGTTAAATCGCCTGCCAGAGCCGAGACCGATTTTGCCCAGCCACATGGCCGTTTCATTTCAGAACTCGCCTCATAACACGATGACGTCCCCAACAACGGTAACTGCCCCACCACGACCAGTATACAACTCATTTGCATCGCGCAAGCGGTCGTCTCCGCCCGTGAAGCCTCTGCCGGAAGATGTAGCATGGCTTAAAGACATTAGGCTCGAAATGGGTACGACCAACTCCATTCGTACTTCCGTGTATTATGTGATTCGCGTCACCTACCAACCCACGGGCACCGCAGCAACGAACTGGGACGTGAAGCGCACGTTTGACGAGTACAAGTGGTTTCAAAAGCGTCTACTGGGTCATCTACAGCCCAAACATAGCTGCAAAGCTGAATGTCGATGGCTCAACAGCACTATCAAGAAACACTTTCCTAAGCCAACGCTTGGCTCGCGCTACCCTCCAGTGGTTGAACAGCGTCGCAAGGCACTGCTACAGATTTTGACTACTGTTCAGGCGTCGGTTGTCAATCACGGCAACCGTAACTGCAAGGTTATGCTGGAAGCCGTAAGTCACGAGCTTTCTTCTTTCCTCGTGGGCGACGTCGACCAGAGTTTCGTTGGCGTGACGCCTCCCGTAACGCCGACGGCAAGTTCCGAGATGGAAACGTCAGCTGAGTCGCGACTGTCGTTCGCGTCTTCTGTTTCGTCTGAAGAAGTCGAAGTAGACACCATCAATTATGATGCGGATACGTTTACCGGCTGGAGTCTCCCTATTGAGCACCTCAACCTCGAACCCACCATAAACTTGCTCGTATAAGCAAGTATTTAGAAATCCAAGCGGGTATAACAACCCTACACAACTAATTAAATGTAACATTAGCAACATTGTGACGATTTCTTGTCGTTGTGGATTTTAGTCGATCAAACTCTTAATTGGCAAAGCTGAATGTTTTCTATATTGTTTACATTATGTGTATGTAATTAATACACATCTTGTGCGGTACTTGATGAATTTTTCCTTCTTTTTTTTTTTTTTTGGTGTAAAAGTATGCTCAATCATTGGTGTTAAGGCATTGATGGCATTGCATCGTCCCATTGGTGAATGCGACCGCACGAAAAATCAAACTTAAAGCCTGCGAAGCTAATCATTCATATGATGCTTTACTTAATTTTGAATAATGGAACACGGCAGCTGGTGACGCTACACGAGCAAGGCAACGATATGAAACCGAAAAGATTCAAAGCTCCATTCTTGTGACTTTTACCGAAGAACGGTCTCGTCGTTGCAAGCCGGTGCAGCTTTCTATAGCAAGCTCATGTACTACCTCGCAGACTTGACGACAAACGTGTGCACGTACAATTTGGGCAGCAACGAGACGTCGTCCATCCAATCATTGATCGAAAACGGCCATATTGATGCAATTCGTATGTGATGGATGACTGGTCCCCGTAACGTCGACTGCTAGGCGATTAACCTAGTCTTCCTTTTGAAAACATAGTGACGGAAACTTGATATAAAACGATAGGAGCAAGCGGTAAGTTACTTTTCAGTCTTCTTCTGGATGCATCTATACAAACGTCAGGTATTGTAAGCTACCCGTCGGTCGTTACTCATATTGTCCAATCGCTAGCGAACCTCAATTCAACGGTCAGCAGATCTGGGTCATTTTGCATCTTTGCCAAGCTACGACGGAACGTTCATTACAAGCACAAAACTGACCTAGGCAGAAAAGTGCAGAAAGGATCTTCATTCTTGCCTCAAAACGTCAAAAAAGGACTTAGGACAAAGGTAAAATTCATTTAGGACACACAAAACCAATTAAGCAATGGTAGGCACCATGATAGAGAGCTCAAGCTACAGTGCAAGTACCAATGCAAGCACCAGCAGCATTAGCAACAGTACAATGGCTCCATGGTCAGCCGCCAATCTCAAGCGCGCTGGCCCCGTGGCCGTGCCCGAGACCGTGGCGTGGCTAAATTACTTGACGCTGGAGCTCACGACAAGCAGCAGCAGCAATGGCAAAATGCAGTACCAATTGACGATGCAGTACAGGCCCAGTCAGCATAAAGTTGCGTCTTGTGCAACGTGGTCTGTAAGTCGAAGCTTTGACGAGTATAAAGGCTTTCAAAAACGGCTTTTAAAGCGGTTGCAACCTGGTCATTCGTGTAGCGCCGAATGCAGGTGGCTTTACAAGGTCGCCAAGCACTATTTTCCTCAGAAATCTCTGTTCTGCAACAACTGTCCCAAGGTCGTGGCGGCCAGGCAACAGACGCTCATTCGCTGCCTTACCACGATACAAGCCTCACTTGTGAATCGAGGCAACCACAGTTGCTGCGTGCTTATACACGATGTGGCGGCCGAGTTCAATCGCTTTGTGGTCAAGGGCATGAAAGATCTGGAGGCGAACGCCACGACTGCCGATTCGACCGAGCTTAGCGCCGTCACGCGCGACTCATTGGACTCACTGGACTTGGACGACGACAGCGAGCTGGAAGACGAAGAGGAGGAGGAGGAGGAAGAAGAAGAAGAGCGTGAGTGTGACGCTTGCCATAGTCGACATGTCGTGTGCCGTACTCACAGCAATTTAAAAGCGTAAAGTATTTGGAAATATACACATAAAGGCAGACGTCAATTATTAATAGTAAGGAACTTCGACGAAGCAACAAATCTTCAGCTTTGTCAATTTTATTTAAAGCTGAAGTGTGTGTTAAGTCACTGCGACATGAACGATTACAACATCTAAATGAAGATGCCATGCCTTATGTCGCACAAAGGACAGGCGAATGTATCAATTACCCACTGTCATTTCCAGTGGTATTTTTAATAGATGAGCTCGTCACATGCAAGGTCTTTATTTTAGGTCGATAACTCTTGTTAAAGAACGTTGAGCGAGATTTTTAGTTTGCGTTTTTCCAGCATCATGGTGTCATCTCGTCAAGGGCGCAAGTTCTCTGCCTCCGTCTGTCCACAGTTGCCAACGTATGTGAGGCTTCTAGAGTCACTTCAACTGACATTACAATCCTCAACTCGTGACAGGAAGCACCCGCTTTTCATTCTCCACGTGCAGTGTCGCAATAATTCTAGTACCGCAGGTGCATGGTGGAGCCTTCCCCTTCCATTTGAAGCATTTGAGATGCTACACCATCAACTGACACTGGGTTTGCAGCACGGCCACTTTTGTAGCGCCGGCTGTCCATGGCTCTTTTCGTTCCTTTCGACTGGATTCCCTAAGAAGCACATTTTCCAGCGGAATTCTAGTCCCAGGATAATTGAAGCAAGACGACAGAAGTTGCTGCTTTTGCTGACAAGGACGCTCGACTTTTTAGTGAATAGGCGAAATCATACGTGCAACATTGTAACTACTAACGTGGTCAAGTTGTTTGCCGAGTTTTTATACGGAAAAGAAGCCGTGGCGCAGTACGTAAGTAAGTTGGAAGCCACGTCTTTAACCAACATCATTCAACACTGCAGTTCGGGCGTTTTGAGTGGTGACGAGAAGTTCGGAGATAGTAGTTTAAATGATAACAACGGGCAACTAAGAGATACTATCTGCGGAGTCTGCAGTAAACCTGTGGATTGTCAGGTCAATAGCAACATCGGCTTCAATTTTGTAAACGCCGAGAGACTCCGTGAATCGTCAGTCTACTTAACAACGTTGCAATGTGGTCATCGATTTCATGACGAGTGCATTGTGCCTGTATTGAATGAGATGCTGAGATGTCCGACGTGTTATCACGTAGAGATTCAGTGACAAATGGAAGTATTGTTTGTTGTGTAAACAAGTGTTTATTCCATTTGCCATGATCAAGCCTGGATATTTTGATTACTTATTCATGGAGCATATTGATCTGCCCGATTTCTGTGCGACTAGTCGACAGCCTGTTTACACCAAGTACCAAGGTCGAATGATCACGTTGCATGGATTGAGCAAATCGCCTAGTTTACTATTTTGCAGATGCCTTCGCCCATACACAAAATATATAAACATACACAATTTTGACCTCTAAGCATTGTCAGTTCATTACTCAATTTGCTTTAACGCAATTACATTAAACACTTTTGTATACCATTTACAATGATGTCTTCTGGTTCGAGCATGTCGCTTACCTCTCGACGACGCCGACGTCGTCGTGTTACCATCACAGGACCTCCTGGCACTCCAGTTAAGAGCCCAGCAACGTCCCCCGCTTCGTTTTGCATTCCGACAATCGCGTACCTTGATCAGTTTGAGCTGAGCGTGATCGCCACAAAAATCAAGTTTGCTCACGGCAAAGACGTTCGTTACGATGTGATCGTGACTCCTACGAGCGACAGAAGCCAACAATGGACTGTAAGTCGTTCGTTTAAAGAGCTGCAAGCATTTCAGCTTAAGCTACTTGACGCCATGCAGCTCGGTCACCTCTGTCACGCAAGCTGTCCATACCTGTATTCAAGCATCAAGGGGCGCTTTCCGAAAGATTGCTACTTGTGCTCGACCAGCTCTTACGTTATGAGTAAGCGCAGCCACGCGATTGAAGAGTGCTTTACCACACTCTTGGAAGCACTTTGTAGACGCGAAAACTACTCTACTTGCAGCATTCTGCCCGGTATCGTGGCCCAAGAGCTTATTGCGTTTTTGAACGAGGATTTGTCGATCGAGCACGAGTTTCGATGGGAGAACTTCACCACTTCTTTAAAGACGCTAAGCAGCAGCTCTACATATCTCAGCACGGATGGTAGCACCCACAGCCTCACCCCAACTTGTCTCTCCCAGTGTTGGCAGTCCAGCAGCGACAACAGCTTTGGGTCGTTGCGGTCGGTTAGCAGCAACAACAGCATACTGGAAACATGTGTATTGTGCGCTAACGACGTAGCGGACAAGGGACCATTCACCACGCTGAGTTGTGGCCACAGATTCCACGACGAATGCGTCATCACCAAACTCAACGAGACGTTGGCGTGCCCCACGTGTGGTCAAAAGCTTTAAGCTGAAATCTTGCAGATGTTGTTTACAAATACTTCGATGTATTGAAGCTTAATACCAAACTTTCCATGACTCGAAACCCATCCATCTTTCCTCGCTAACAGCAGTAGAGACTAACGACAGTATATATAGTTGTCACAAACAATCAAAACACCTCATTATCATACCTCACTGACTTGAACGATCGTTTGTGATGCCACCAGATTTAGACTCGACGTAGCCATCATGTCCATAAGAAGACGTCATTCTTTTATTTAACGGTAACAAAGACAAATTACAAAAACACGACTCGACAATGGGCACAAAACGTATTCGTAAGAATCGGTCGCAAACTGTCGATACTTTGCCACCTCAAGTGGCATGGCTTGATGATATTTCGATGGCGGTAACACCTCTTGTCTCCTGGCCGCAACCACTTTATCGGCATGTCAACTATATGCTGACCGTGACGTGCCATAGTCGCAATAAAGCCAAGCTTTCAACTTGGCAGTTGGTTCGGAGTTTCGACGAATTCCGGTTACTACGCAAGCGGTTGATGGCGGCCTTAGATCGTGGCCATTTCTGCCAGGCGGAGTGTCCGTGGCTCTACACTTTTCTTAAGAGCTACTATCCCACGTCTCAGCTAATCGGAAGCTCCCTGACGCGAGTGATGGATAGACGACGGAAGAAGTTGACACGCAGCTTGGCAACAATTCGAAGCTTTTTAATGAGCAAATCCAACCATGTCTGCCCTCTGGTACTAATGGGTGTGGCATCAGAGCTGCTAAAGTTTGTCGTTGGTAAACAAAAGGAATTCGAACAAGATTGTCACGGCGAAGCTCTCGTTTGGCTTCGGCAATTGCTACAAAGGTGGCACGAAGGAGATCTTGATGTGAAACATTTGTCAAACCACAGCAATATGCTAAGTAATAAGTCGATTATAGAGAAGGATTCTAGTGCGCTGTGCACCAATACGATGGCAAAACATCTTCAAACCCAGGGATAGTAGACGTATATGAAGTCCAAACGTCGATGTGCTCAGCTATCGAACCAGTTTTTGGTACTAAATTGTCGTCATAACTTTCATGACAAAAGTCATTCCCAATTACTAAACTGAGCCATGTAATGTTCAACCTGCGGCCATGGCGAGACAGTTTCGACATCAGATAAAAAAGACGGTAAGTAGTTCTTAAAAAGGCAGTTGTAGAATGCAAATAGAAAATAGCTTTAAGCTTTCATCCCACGATCTGAGAACAGCCCTAGTGTTCTCTGTATAAAGTCAGCGTAATGTGAATTGCCACAACTTACGACGGACTACGAACTAGAAATACACTTTTTTACTCTAATCTTTAGACTGAAGATGGATAAAGTGTTGCACAGACAAATCGTAAGATTTGTGGCTCAAAGTACAGCTGTTTTGGATTTTGGCTCCCACGGCATTTTGCCATAGTAACAAAAGCAAGTAACGTTATCCAAATGATGCTGCAGTGTCGACGTAGCCAAGAAACCCAGAAAAAAGCAAACCAAGCATATCGAAACTTAACTTAGAATAACTCAAATTACATGGTACTTATGTATTCAATACAGTTCAGCACTGGCCTCTTTAGTATTGGCGGCATTTGAAATGCATTATATTTCAATCTAATCACAAACCTTCCATTTTCGCTGCACTTCGTTCGCCACGTCGTGTATCTACCGTGTCGCAGTCAATCACTTGTTATTCGAAAGGCACAAGAATACATCCATTGATTATCAAGCTTTTCATCAAAGTTGCGCCAGCAAATTGCGTTAGTAATACACATAAAGGGACTCTTTACATGATTCGAATTTCAATCTTAAAGCAAACTCAAGAAGATTCCGTTTAGAAAAAACTATAACTTCTGAACACTGAAATGTTCCGACCTTGACTTGAAAGCCAGAACCCATCCACCCAACACATCCAACTATCGATTGGCAAGTGACACTATCATGACCAACCAAGTGGCAGAGCACAAGAATGAGCCGCTTTTCACTCTGCAATTTGCTTTATCCCTACATCATTGCATTGGTGGCAAAAAAAAATTTGTTATCACTGTCAAAAGTCTCGCAAGTACCGGCGAATGAATCACACAACGTTGCAGCGCCACCCCAAATGCTCGGCATTTTATGCTAGTCACCTTCGTCGTGACTCGGAAGCCTTGAGACCGACCGAAGCTTGGGCTACAAGTGTCACTTACTTGGCCAATGTGACGGTTGAAGTGACCACAAAGGCGTTGACTCGAGACGCGTCTACTTTTGCAATCACTGTCCACGATACTAAATCCAGCTCGACATGGCGCCACCTCCGATCTTATACCGAGTGTCGAGCATTTCAAAGTCGAATACTCGAAATGCTGAGTCGGGGTCACCTCTGCTTTGCAGAGTGTCCGTGGCTGTATGCGTACGTGCAAAGAGCTCTTCCAGGCGAACATAGGTATCGTCATTTGTTCCTAGTCGCGGGTCAAAGCTCTAAACCTCGCGTCGTAGAGAACCAGCGACAAGCTCTTGCCAGGCTTTTTACGACTTTGCAACGGGTTCTGCTTAACCCACTCAATCAGAAATGCACCGTGTTGATGCAACAAGTTGCGCTGGAAGTGATTACGTTTATTACGAATCAAATCGACGTAAACGGTCGAAAGCCTTTGAGCTCGCCTTTGTGTGACCGACAACTGGCAAAAACGTTTTCTGAAGCCTACATGTTCGACACTACTACAGTCTACAAGAAAATGGACGAAAGATTCCAGCAGACCAGCACTACCACCACAGCAAGTCTTGAGGATCTGGACAAAGACTACTACGTCGAAGAAAATGACTCTATGTATGATGTAAACAATGTTGTGGCTGGACAACGCGTGTGTTGTGCCATGTGCGCCTTGCAGAACGAGCGCTCCGACGAGCAAGTTTTCGCCTATTGGCGAGCGAAGACCATGAGCAGTCATCACACGAAAATACGAGCAAAATCTGTAGCCAGATGGGCTTCGATCGTTGGCAAGCGCCCGTTGCAGATGCGATCGCAGACCCAACAGAATGTCGTGTGGGAGTCTCCTGCATTTTCGCAACGAGTGACGTCTCCTTTGGAAATAGTAGCAGCTCAAATAGATCAGTATTTGAACACCCCGGTCACAATGGAACACGACGGGACTCCAAAAGACCCTTTCCCAGGGTCCGCATGCACTCCACGCACCCTTAAAGAAAAAATTGAATATTCAACCCAGGAGTCGATAGCGTCATCTTCGACGGCCTCGTCAGTGTGTGAGTTCAATTTTGAGATGCTGGACAATTGCCGCCTATCAAGTGCAGTACCTTCGCCTATGGAAGACGCTGACGCCGCTTCTGCAATAAAAATGTCGCGGTGTTCGGGAGTCAAGAATATTCGTCGGATGCCATTTCGATCGCTCCTAATCCTCAACCAAATTCGAAATAAGTTTAGAACCAAGCACTGCACTGGAAGTATATAAGTAAAAGAGGCTGAACCTGGTGTAATAAATTGAATATAAAAATTATAGTCATCAGTTTGCGGTTTCCGCACGGTTCTGTTGCATGAAAAGGTTTGTGTCACTGTTTCGCCCTTCGCTTTTGCGCGAAACTTTATAAGCCTCGTCTGATTCGACTATATTTTATATTACTGTACATAGGTATTGAAAATGCGAGAAGTCAACGTCGCTCGCATATTTCGTCATTGATCATGCAAGTGCTGCAGTCGCTGGATATTTCTGCTCAAAACGTTTATAGGCTCCAATGTGGACGATGGACGAAGTAAGCAGGTCAATTCAATTTGTTTTGATACCTTTTAACCGTTTGATTTGCAATTAAGACACTATGCTCCGGAAAGGTGTTCAATGTTATGGTGCGCGTCGATGGAACTGCATTGCTTCGTTATTCCCAAATCGCTCGAAACATTCGTGCTTGATTCGCTGGAATGAACTGCAAAATCGCTGGACAGTTTCTAGTCGACAACTATGGACCGTAGAAGAAGACAAATCTTTGCTTAACTCGGTGAAACTATTTGGAGCAAGGCAATGGGCAATCGCGGCTTCTTTTCTGTCTGGACGGACACCGAAGCAGTGTCGAGGGCGGTGGCACAACCACCTGGACCCATCTATTAAGCGTGGTGTTCGGTCCGCCTATGAGGACGAGCTACTCGTGACAGTGCAACGAAAATTTGGGAATTCGTGGACACCCATTGCTTCGCTATTGCCCGGACGCACTGACAATGTGATAAAGAATCGATGGCATTCTGCTCGATTACGACGTTACAAATACAAAAAGGATGATAGGATGACACAACAGAAAAAAAGCGTCTGTGAAAGGTGGAAGCCGTCAAGCAAGTCAAGTATCATCACCCCCTCAAGAGATTCTTGCTATGGCCGATGAAATGCTTACAACTTCATGTACGACAAATGCAGATTCTTGGTGTCTTTAGCAGAAGATTCACCTGTGATGAAGAATAATCCGACTTTACCTCTGGTAAAAGATGATGTGCTACAAGAATGAACATGTTGTGCTGAGTGCCGGCTCGATAATAAACATGCATATAGTTGATGGACTTTGTATACGACGATGTGTTGGTTTTTGACCATCTTTGTTATATAAATTTTGCCATTCAAGACCTTGAAAGCGCTGCAATGAATTTACATCATTAACAGCAATAAAAGCGCTGCAATGCATTTTAAGTCGGTTTTACCGACTGTAGTTTATTTTTTCAGCGCTTTTACTGCGGTGCCTTAATGATTTTAAGCGGGTTTTACCGACTTAAAGTTGTGTAGCGCTTTTGATGCCCCGATAAAACCTTCTCAAATTCGTTGCAGTGCTTCAATTGTCCTAACTTTATTTAGCAAAAAAGCTTAAATTAAACATATTGAGATCCAATGTATAATGTAAAATGACCCAACTCTTTGAGTACGTAGTCGCCCGCTTTTTGCAAGCCCATCACATCCTTCAGCAAACAGCTCTATGAGGTGATTCCGTTACATATCGTTGGCACCATCATAGGTGTCATGAGAAAATTATCGAAAAGGGTTCATAAAATCACAAATTTGCAGTAATTGGCAATTTTAAAGGCCTCTACTTATTTTATTGACATAGGCCATTATATCAACCAGGACTTGGTCAAGTGAACATAAACGCAATTGGTGTTTAGCAAATAGCTAGCTACACATTTCTACTCAAATTTAATTCAAATGGATAAAAGGGTAGGTTTAGTCAAGTAAGTTTTAGTTATTCTAAATAGACCTAAAAAATTACAACTAAGTGTATACGCTCAGTCGGATCGCTTCTTCGTTTCTACGTGCAAAGTACGGCACCTGCTTATAATGTTATCATTGTAAGTAGCCTGTACTGTTATCAGTGTAAGTACAAGTAGTGACTTACCTTGGTCTTTTCAAAGACCATTATCACATCCCTACGATAACTAGCGGATATTGTAGCAGAGGTACTGTAGCAAATCTGCTTATGCTGTAGCCGAGCTACTGTAGCTACGCTGCTTATGCACTATTTGCAGATGGAGTTGGTGCAGATGCACTATGTGCAGAAGAAGTAGTCATACTACTGTAGCAAAGCTACGTATGCACTATGTGCAGAGGAAGACAAGCTCAGAGAACTTCTACGTCTTAGGGTGCTTAACCCTTCCTAGGCTAGCTCGTAAGCTTGTGCCTATCGGTTGTTACAACCGCGTCTCAGAGAGACTAGTATCAAAGATACAATTCCTATATGGAATGGAACGATCTAGCAACTAGTGCTATACAGAGCAGGTTTGAAACTAGTTTATATTTATATTTATCTTCTAACACTAAATATAGAAGCACCTCCTCTATACTTAGTGCTAGTCACTATTACTGGCTCTTTAGCCTTTTATTATTATGTAAACATGCATAGTCACTATACTTTTTAAAGTATAGTGACCACGTGGCTCTCTGCAACGATGTGACCCTTCGTACTTCAGGTACAGTCACATCACCTACTTTTGTACCCAAGGTACAGCCACACCACATTGGTGTGGCAGGTGTGTATATAAAATACACACCTTCATGTAACCCCGTTACACCCTCCCCACCAATCCGTGGGACCCGACGTACCAACGACTTTTTGCACTTAATTGGAGGCATCGATTTCATTTTCTTCTCATTTTGCTTGCCTCGCAATAAGTGCTTGCACTTGCGTCTAAAGCTTCTGTGTTTTTAACACTTGATCTTTAAGCACCCGTGCATTGCACACACGCTTTATAAGCATCCTTGTGTTACGACTTCGCTCTTTGAGCATATAGTGCATCGCACTCACGCTAAAGCATTAAGTGTTACGACACTTGCTTATAAGCGTTAAGTGCCAAGCACTTGGTTATAATACCCTTGGTGTGTTCACGAACACTTGCTTTCACAGCACAAGGTGCCTAGCACTTGCTTTTAAGCATTACAGTGCTCGCACCACTTGCTTTAAGTACAGTGTTCACAACACTTGCTTTAAGCATTACAGTGTTCACGAACACTTGCTTTATAAAGCACTTGTCTCAATAGCGTTCGATTCATCATGGATGAAGCATTGCGTCACGACATTTTTGGGGACGATGACAGTGACGTTGCCTCTACGGGCGGGGGAGCCGAGTCACCTTCGGGTCAAAGTAACCCCAGATCATTACGCTCACCGAGCGAGGGACGTTGATCCTATTCTGTGTCTTCCTCTCTAAGGGAGACAACCCCATTGCTCCAAGCGCCTCCTCTTTCCTCGCGAGAGGGTACAGACGAAGAGGTAACCAACCCTCTTGACGCTGCACAGCGTCGTCAAATTGATGACGAGGCCCGAGCGGCCGCTCTGGCACGGCCCCAAACAAACGTTTTTACGACGTGATTATGGGTTCGAGCCCCAGGACCCCAATGAGGAAGCTCGACGGGCTGCATCGCAATCTTTGCAAACCTATATCATTGGGTCCCACGCCCGTACGGCCTGCGAGAATGCAGATAGTGTTGCTCTTCGTGAGCGGCTCCTTACTCCCCAGGTGCTTACGATGAAATCGTATCAGGAGCGACTGTCACGACAGTCTCGTGGGGTGCCCGTGCACCCACTAAACGGCATACAAGTGGTTCTTGCACCAGGTGAAACATTTACACAAGATGATCACCAGTTCACCCGTTGGGTAAAACGAGCACGTAAGCTCTCAAGTTTGTCAAACTTGCGTTTAAGCGATAAAGCACAAGACGTTTGGTTAGAACGTCGTCTACGTTTTAACTTCGCTAAGCTCAAAGCGAAACGTCAATTACCTTCCACATACAGGCCAAAGACTTGTGGAGGACAAGCTTCTGAAGCTGCTGCCCGTACCTCTCACTCGAGTGATGTACCGACCTTGGCTTCTTCTGAAGGTCAGAGGCGAAACCAGCCTACTGACCCTACATCCACAGCACCTAGTGCTAGGAAGCGTCTGAAGACAGCTGTCGTCGCTTCTGACCGTCCTGGTCAAAAGCGTCAACGGCGTCACCTGCCGGAGGGATACCTCATACTCCCACGAGTCATACGACTGAGGGTAACCCCTTCACTCCACCAAGTATTGGGTATGACCCATGTGACGACGCCGAGCCAAGAGGCGTTCCACGTGGAACTGTTGATGACACTGATCATCAATCAACGTCGGAGAAGGTCGATGATTCATTGACCTCTCATCTCTGATTGAGCGTCGCCTGACGCTTCTGGAGCGTGATGCCCTTACATCGGTGAGGTCTCACCTGTCATCGCTCGATGACCGTGTCGATCGACACCGTCGGTCTTTAGAGCGTTGTCGCTCTGAGACCTCGGATCGCTTAACGGCAATTGAGCGTTCTCAGGCCGAACTGCGATGTCAGATCGACCTCCTGGTACGCCTTCAGCGTCCATATGCACCTCCGGTGCAGTACTTCCCGCCTCCTTCGGCCGGGATTCGAGGACAACCCCTCGTAGTCCACCGAGGCAGGGTTGAGGTATGGCTTAAGTAAGCCCACATTGAGCACAGGATGTGTTCTCATCTTCTTCGGAAGGTTTAGCGTATAGGCTAAACTTTTCTTGCCTATGACCGTAAAGGGTCCAATAAAATGTGGTCGTAATTTAGTTTTATATACCGCCGAAACGGCACGGGTAGGCAAATTCCTAGCGTTTAATAAAGCCAAATCTCCCACTTTGAACTCATGTTCGTTCTTCCTGCCTTTGGCACCCGCATGTTTCTTCTGAACATCCTGGCTTTCGGCCATAGCGTCTTTGACGCGACGTAATACGTCAAAACGCGTTGATAGAAACGCTTCCACCTTCTTGCGCATCGCAACAGGGCTGATATCAGCCAAGCCTTCGGCTATCTATCCCCCACTAAGCCCTGATTTGGCAGGGGATAGCATTAAAGGAACGCGAGGGTTAACCAATCCATTCACATAGAATGGGGTGATGCCTGTCGAGGCATGCACCGCGTTGTTCAACGCAAACTCTACCCGAGGGAGCATCGCGCTCCACTGCTTGGGTGTTTCAGCACAAACACTGCAAAGCATATCTCCAATAACGCGGTTGACGCGTTCAGTCTGACCACGGTCTGCAAATGATCTGCCGTGGACATGTCCAGTCGAGTGCCAAGCACTTTAAAGACGGATGTCCAAAATTTACCCGCGAAACGGGGGTCTCTATCCGAGACGATTGCCACAGGCAATCCGTGTTGTCTAAACACACGATCCAGAAACAGCTTTGCTGTTTCTTCTCCATCAATGGAGTCCAGCACTGCCGCTAAGTGAGCCATCTTGCTCAATCGGTAAACAAAGACCACAATCCCAGTGTTGCCTGCCGTATCACGCGATAGGCCAAATACAAAGTCCATACTAATGGACTACCACAACTCTTAGGGTACAGGCAAACTCGCCAAAGGTACAGCCATATTAGTCGAGAGTTTCACCTTTGACACATTTCACACGTGCGTACGTAGGTATCAACCCATTTGTACAACTTGGGCCACCAATAATGTGTGCTCACCGAGCTGTAGGTCTTCTCACGACCTAAATGATCACCAAGGGGTGTATCATGAGCCTCATAAAGTAGCTGATACTTGAGGTCCTCATCATGAGGCACCACAACACGAGGCTGGTCATCCGACCCTGTACTATAGTACAACAGACTATCGGTCAGCGCATAACGATGTAATCTCGCACGATTACGTGGTGACAACTTCACTAGTTTCCAAACTCTGCGCTACCTAGCGCCTGCAGAATGGCAACAGATGCCTCATCGCGTGCATACGCCACATGGATACGATCCGTTACTGACGAACTCACAACAGTGAGATAAGAAAGCTCATAGTCAGGTCTACGCGTTAACGCGTCAGCCAAAACATTCTGTTTTCCCGGCTTATACTTCACTTCGAAGTTATACTCCGCAAAAAAGGAGAGCCAACAAGCCATTATCTGCGAGAGATGAGGCGACTGTGTCGCTGTGCGTAATGACGCATGATCGGTATAGAACACAAACGGCTTTGAGTCCAACAGGTGTACCCTAAGCTTAAC